TGTGCGGACCACCGTAGCTACGAGAGTCAACCTTGGAAAGAAATGTATATATAAACAAAAACAACATCTTAGTTCCAGGGAGGGTATCAACATGTATCAACATTGCTTGGGGAGGCTAGCTGTACAAGTAGGCTCTCAGTTAGTCACTCATGCTCGCACTCTTCGAGTCCAACACCACCTGTTTAAACCACTCGCTCTCGCAGTGCTTGAACGCCAGTACTTGTGTTGCCCCATGTGCCCGTCAAACATCATCAAACACACATAGACTCATAAAGTACAGATAGAACAATATAGAAATGCCTTGTTGACGATCTATTGACAGCCACTTATTTTGACAGGACCCTTCCTTTATCTCCACCGCGCAAAACATTCATCGAAAGCAGCCCTGGTGCTTTCAGGCGGCGCCAGCGCCCCGCGTGGCGGCAACATCACCAGACCCCAACTCGGAGGCGCGCTGATCGCTCTTAACCTACTTCCAGGGTATAAGTCTAAGTGCATCACCCGCAAAAGCTTTTTCGGGTATTTCCTGCCCAGGAAGTTCGTGGATCACCTGCAAAACCTCTATTTTTTGTTGTGGATTGAGTTCCCCACTGGAAACCAACAGGTATAAAATGTCCCGGGAAAACCATGGATCGAACCGGCTCAGGAGTCAGGCTGTTCCCAACCCGAAGAAGGGAATGCGAAAACCGAGTTCATGCTTCTGGGTAATAGCGTGATTGACTGCGAAGAAGAAGAAGAAGAAGCAGGTTGATTGGGCAATGTGAATGCACTTCATACGAACTGCAAGCACCATTTGCCCAACTAGATCACACAACACATACTCGTGATCTAGAACAGCACAGCGAAGAGTGCCAACTTCGGCCTGGGGCCTAGAAAATAGGAAAGCCAAGCGAGCAGTGGCACAAGTAGAGGTGGCTCCTGGCCAAAAACGCGCTCGAGGACAGGAAGCACCTTGGAGTCCCTGAATTGATTGCATCCCATGGGGATCCAAGTACCGTCTCTAGAAGGTACTTGGACCCTCCAAACCTACATAACAGTGTCTCCAATCACCTGCTGAGAAGGTAGTTGCATGACTATCATACCTGGACCGGACTTTGTTCAAAGAGTGGGACATGACCGTATATAGTAATCTTTATATATATATATGTATAGTCAGTATAGTACCACATGTTCCAAGCTACAAACTGAGACTCCAGGCATATGCGGATGATGACGTGTTTGTTGCTCCAATCAATAGAACTTCCAGGAAGGCTGCGTCACGACCAGCACTTCCGCACGAATGCAGTTGCTCAATCTACCCCAGAAAGATGGATCACCTGCCACACGTCTTTTTGGATTGGGGACACCGCACTCGAAACGTCTCAAAACCAACAGGTGGAAAGTTTGGTTAACCTTTGCCCACCAAAGACCCAGTAAAAGCTGGTGCTGAAATGTGCTGAAAACCTTCTTGAGTAGAGTTTTGGTATGACCAACTCCACTAAAATGAGGTTTTTGACCGGTATAGGGTTCATTTTCCAGGGAAACTCAAAAGGCCGGTCAATGAAGAAACTGCTGTCAGGAGGCAAACGTGGACAGCCGCTGGCGACGTCGCCCGGGAGTGCAGGGATCAGCGAGTGTGTCGCTGCGAAATGATCCATTCAACACCCAAGCTAAGTTAGGATCAAAGGGGAGCTAAGGAGCTCTAGTGCTTTCAACCTGTAAATGGTGCTAGTGTATATTTGACGTGGACCGACATCCATTGAACATGTTGTTTTGGAGAATGGATTTCTCGTGGCCAGGTGCCAACCACTTCGTCCATACACTGTTTGAACATGCACGAGAACAAGAACGATTCATGCTGTTGGACGATGGCTTTCCGGCCGTGTCTGGACGTCCACCTAGCCAGGCCCTGCCGGCCCGAGCAACGTCACCCGACCCCAACTCGGCGGAGGCGCGGAGGCGGTTCGAAGCTTTGTTCACATGGATGGTGGAAGTGAGCAAGATCTCTGGGAGAAGGAAGTCAGGTGAGTTGGACCCTCCTGGCAGGAACCCCGACCCACCCGCAACCACCGAACCTCAGGAGGTAGGCCAGGAGCCGGGTACCAAGGTACCCATCTTCCAAGGTACGAACTGAGACTCCAGGTATATGGCTACGGCCAGAAACATAAGGCTTGGATCACACACCCAAACCCATACACGATCCACACCTCGATCCATAGGGTATGGATCAAAAGGTGGGTGTGTGATCCAAGCCCTTGGATCACACAACTACTAGTGCTACCATTGCCACAACAACAACTACTGCTACTACTACCTCTGCTGCTACTACTGTTGTTAGTGCTACCACTCCCACTGCTACTGCCACTACACTTGCTACCACTACTACTACTACTTCTACTACTACTACTACTACTGCTGCTGCTGCTGCTGCTGCGGCTGCTGCTGCTGCGGCTGCTGCTACTGCTACTCACTACTATCACTGGTATTGCCACCACCACAGATTTAGCGGAAGCCACTAGATTGAACTTCACATTGACTTCCCATTCTGGCAAAAGTGGAAACTGCTAAGTCTGGTCACAGCCGGGCCCGAGCCAAAAGTAGAGAATTGAAGATTAACGCTGTTAACCATTAGGCTATGGAAGCCTCTGAGTGGAGGAGCCAACCCAACCACACCACATTAAAGAAGGTGCCAGAAGACAAGATGGTGGAAGGCCAAACAGAATTAGCGGCAGCCACTAACCAGTGTCCGGAGTGAGCCTCCAATCTGAGAGCTGCGAAGCCACCACCTCTGAATCACCAATTTGCGTGGCTAGCTAATGGCCTGTTTGTGCTTCTTGTATCGCCTTCTTGAACCAAAACAAGGGCTAGAGAAATGAGGTTAGTGGACCCCGAAAACTTAATCCGCAAGGCCTCTTGTTAGCCCAAAAGTGAACCAGCGCCCATTGCCACCCACTCTACCCAACAGGCTTGCCACAAACAGGATGGCTGTGATCGTGGAAGCCACCACCTTCACAGTGAACTGGTGAGAAAGTGGTGGGGTGGAGCGCCACCATGCAGATGTGTTTATATCGGGGGCTTGGATCAAGTGACTTGTCCGTTTGATCCACAGGGCTTGGATCAGCGCTCTGATCCATTGGGTTTGGATCACTCTCGCTGCAGCGCGGAACGATCCACACCAGGGTTTCTGGCCACACCCATATGTCTTCCAAGCGGCCATTGCTTACTTCCTTGCAGAAGTTGTTGTTCACATGACCGTGGGATAGAGGCCATTGCTTTGTGTCGTTTTGGGGGGAGGCCTGTCAAGTAATCTCTTTGGTCACATCAATGGCGGCCATGGATCCAAATGAGTACTGCATTCCAGGGGCCCCACAAACCACCAAAAACCATGTTTTCCCTAGCAAAGGCATGTTTTTGTATGTGAAAAACTCAGGGCCACATATTCTTGTGAGGCGTTCTTTGTGGATGTGAGAGCATTCGTCAGCTATCATGTAGCAAAGTCGAGGGTTTCGATATCTAGTTCGGGAGCAAGCACACATATCCTGTGAATATCTGGGGCTCAAGCCCCTTCTCCTATTTTTGAGCTAGTTGCTTTCAAGTTTGTACTCCGTCGATCTAACGACCTTTCGCCCGTTGAGATGAGCGAGTCCGCAGCTTCCGAAGAAATCAAGAAGTTTGCTGCGGTTGTGGGCGCACACAACACCAGCGAGCCAACCTCCCTTCTGAATTTGGACTTCGCCACACTGGCCAACGAAACAATGGCAGAGGTCCAAGAGTTGGTGGAACACGCCGTCGGCATCACGACGCTGACAGTTGCGACAATACGCGTCTCGACTGAGGAAGGTGCCCCAGGGCTTATTTTACATAAGGGCAGGGCAGGTGCCGGGAACGAGATATCTTGTTTATTAAAGACGTGATCGTCGCTTCCTTCGCCCCTGACAGCAACGGAAAGAGCATTCGCGAAGCTTTCCTTGCTCTGCTGTCCAGCGACTTCAGCACCATTGCAAAGGCAGCGCCTCAGGTACGATATATACGCAGGTTCCAGTTGGAAAACAACTGCACACGTCCACGTTCACCATCTCTCCATGCCATCCATCCTCCGCCGAGCACCCCGTGATTCGCTGTTGCAGATCTACCCTGAATGCGTGCGGCGGCTGCCGCCGCACGCATTCGCAGCTCCACAAATCGTAAGGAGATGGAGAGACTGCAAAATTGGAACTTGCTTTCCACAAATTGGAGAGAATTGCATCCATGATTGGCGAGGTAGAGACGAACTCTTGGGCTTGCACCAGCCCTTGTTTGGCCAAGAGCCTTCAGTTTTTGGAGGCACCTTCCTTTGAGACGCTTGCTGCAGGAAGCTATGGAAATAGGTCATTAGAGCACCAACATCTCCCAATGGTCTGTTTTTTCTCTCTGTCAGCTAGCAGGCCTTTCGAGGCGTGGGTCAAGATAAGTCCAGCAACCTGCCAAGAGTGCAAGGTTTTCTTTGCACTCCGGGGATTGGCGGGAATGTCAGTATAGGGTCGTGGATCCAAACCAGTCACCATGCCGGAGGACCATGTGGAGAAAGATCATCCCAGGGCTGCCAGGGCGTCGTACCAAGAAGGCCACCCCACATTTCCCAAGTTCCTCCAAATAAAAAAGAATCTTTCAATCGACATATTTTTTGAGAGTTAAAGTTCATGTTCAACTTGCAACCGCCCCTGATGCCTGGAACTGGAACGGACAACTGGACTGCAAACCACCTTTGATGCCAGGACCGGACACACCAGGTGTGATGCTGAAGGCCCTGGCTTTGAATCTCGTTAAGGGCGTTTTTTAGATCGCCTGAGGGTGTAATTTTTGTGGCGGTTTCCTTAAGGCTTTTAGTAAAGGAAGAACCCTATCTAAACCAGAGACCTTTCCTACTCCGAGCGCCAATTGCACCGAGAGTCCGGCGACGATCCTGGAGGCTGGAGCCTCCATCTCACACCCAATTCGGCATGCTGGACACATGACAAGGGGAATCTGAAGAATTCTGAACGGGATCTGATTTCACTCTTCAAGCAGTGCAAACTATCTGTCCCAGCTTCAGTGAAATACATCCGGCATGGATTGCTGCAATTCCCGTACCTGCCATTTCAGCACTGGTTCCGATACTTGCTCAGCAACCAATCACACCTCCTACTTGTTGGCTTTACAGCACAGGATTCGCGGTGCGGCCTGTCGCTGGAGTCGTTTTGGAAAGCCTTTCAAGCTGCCAACTCTGACCATTAAGGAGTTGACTTGAAGCGTGCCATTCCCTTCAATCTACATTTAGATGAGGGACTGGGCTTCGATAGACCGCGGTGATGATTTACAACTTTCAGCCTATTTTTGGACTTTGACACACTTACAGAGTTTGAGAGGATCTACGCAAGCAAAGCCAACTGGTCCCATGAGAGTTTGTTGGCCTACATGCTGGGAGCACAGCGCCATAACCAGAAGAGATCAAGCTTTTAGACACGCTTTTTGTACACACTGCTCCCAAACCGACATTAATCAAACAGTTCGTTGGGGTCTATGACAAAGTCCTCGCAAACATCGTGCAGGAATGCCGCAACCTTGCCTTTGAGGGCTTTAAGTTGGAGGGCCATCTGCCCAGTTTTGAAAGGAGACGCACCAGCCCTAGCAAAAGCGGGGCACCTGACACGCAGTTTCCAGATTCTCGGTGACTAAGTCAACATATTGTTTTCCCTTTGAGATCTTGGGGGTGTGGGAGTTGAATCAGCTTTATCAATGAAACATATGTTGCCAAGGAATATGGGACTTCATCGACCCATCTGCATGGAATGCCTTGCTGGCTTGGAGGGCTTGCCTTGTGAGGACACTGGCAGAAGACCGAATTGGATTGCAAGCGTTGGCCTGGAGAACCCTTGGAAGGAGGCTTTGCCATCTCCATCGCTGGGCATTCCACATCGTGCATTTTCCCCGGATGCTCTGTTCAGAAAGGATCCATTCCATTCTTCAATTAGACCATCGGAGGGCACTTTGTAGCATCCTGAGTGGTTCTCCTGGGTCACTGCTAACCGCAGAGAGGCTTCGGTTCTTTTGGAGATAGCCCACGATGATTTCAAATCCTGGCTGAAGAGAGAGTGGAAGGGACGACAGGTTCACCTAAAAACCTACACGAAGGCCCTTTTACACTGGCCAAGAACGGATGTGTATCCATAGGCCCGATTCAAAGGGTCTGACACGGTGCTCATGATGCGTTGGCTGAGACATCTTGTCTTGGATGAACGATGGCTCCGTGATAGAGATGCACGCCAGGGTGTTGAGTTGCGGCAAAGGCCACTACAGCCTTTCCATGTGCCACCATGGAGCACGTTTTTCGTGCATGCAGCCCTTCCTTGCTGTTCTGGCGTGTTGTCCACACAGAGGCCTTTGGTTGACTCCAGACAAGGCCAAGTCAGTTGCATAATCTGCTTATTTTGCATTTTGCCAGTCTTATCAGTCCTTGGCCTGCCAGTGCCATGACCCGAACCTGCGACGTTTTCATCTTGAGCCATCCCTGTGCTACTTCCACCATTATTACATAGATCTGGAACAACGGGCGGCGGGTGGTCGGGGATCATTGGATCCAGTCGCCTGCCATTGATGGGTGTGAACAGGAAGAGGCTTTTGTTGGGCACCTGGCCCGGTTGTCCGGAGCTTGCCATGCAAGTTCTGTGACTCAGAGAGTTATCAATAGGTTCCTCATCAAGGTGCACTTCAGCTTCACTGGCATGCTTCAACCGACCTAGCTAAGACCGATGCCAGAAAATGGACAGCAGCTTCTCAGTCTTGAGCCACTGATTACACCAGGGTGGGCAGGAGACGTGCGGTGACAAACAAAAAACAAAATTGTGAAACGACCCTTAGACACAGAACGCAACCCTGAAAAAAACACAGGGATCTTTGGAGTGACCCCAAAAACGAAGGGTAGCAGAGACTCAAGGTATAACCGTTGTTTTTCTTTTTATGCCTTTATGTTTTTTGTTCTGGTCATATGTCCTATTTTTGATTGGAGGAACGGTCCGTCGAGTCCAGGATGGTCCAGGTATTTTTTTCGCCCTCAGCTCTTTGCAGACCTCTGCAGGCGTCGCCGGCGCCGCCTCTGGCTGTCCAGACACCAAGCCTCAGATGGGCGTTCCAGGCGATGTCCATTCGTGATGTCCATTCGTGATGTTTGGTTGGGATCAATTTGATCCACAGACCTTCTGAGCCACTCTGAGCGGTGGTGCTTTCATGTACACGTTACATGTTTATTACTTTTCAACCCTTTTTGGCAATGACTACCTTACCCGTGGCCCCTGCAAGAGAGAGGATCTTTGGTTGGAGAATTGAGGCGATTCGGCACACATCCCTGTTGCTTTGTTTCGGACATGCGGAGAATTGAGGCGATTCGGCGCACATCCCTGTTGCTTTGTTTCGGACATGCGGGTGATGACATCATGATGAAATGCTTTGAACTCATCCAACTACATAAGTATACTAAAATTACATTTGTTGAGTCGACGTTGTTGTTGGGACACCTCCAAGTTCTTGCGTTGGCCCGCAGCCTGCCATGTCCAGTAGAGCAGGTCGTGCATCGGGCTTTCTTCCAGCCATATTGAGTCTCAGCCGTCGAGGATCAGCTGCCGACGGATCAGCAGAACTTCCCGAAGAATCAGCTAGTTTAGCCCGTCACTTGAGGTCTTCGAAGGGCCGGGCCCAGCACCTTTATGTCGGGGTCTCCAATGGAATACCCTACGCGTCCCTACACTGCTTGTGGATCTCCATTGGATGCCCCAAACGGAAGGACCAGGTAGGTGGTTTTTTTCATCCACCCGGTAACCATTCTCGATCCCTACTGTAGCCATCCAGTCGACCGTTTCAATACGCGTTTGACCTGGCTTTAATTTAGTCGTCATTAAAATCTTCAGGATCAGCTCGGTCCCAGAGGTTCGAGAGCGCGAACTTGGCTTTGTGAGAGCCCACACGCTCGCCAGGCATGATGTCTCAGGCCCGACCGGACGCACCCCTACAGCGTCGGCTTGGGGGATCTGTGCCGAAGTGAAGTGGGTCAATTGATACGGGCGTTGGGGTACGGGTTGACATAGAAGCTGAGGACCAGTGGTGCAGCCTTTACTCATAACTTCACTCCTCCTGGGAGATTGATTGGATTGAATTCTTCACTCAAACTACCAGCGCCTGTTCAACAGGTCACATCAGGTCACCGCCTGCGACTTTGAAGTCTGCATTTCAGCCACCAGTTCACTCGGATACCTCGTTACGTCGGGGCCTCGGGGCCTCGTCGCTTGATCTTCAGTCCGTTGGAATCAGCTCGGACCGTCGATGTTGGGATGATGATGGACCCGTCGATGCTCCAACGAAAATCAATCAGCCCGCAATGCCAAGCCTTCACAACGGATTGGTGAGCACCCCCCGGACTCCTCCATGTGGGACCTCCGTTCACAGCCCTCTGGTCCCTCAAAACTCAGGGATTGGTTCACCCCAGACCCCTGTGGGTGAAATGGCCGACCAGTGGGACAAGCGAACATGATCAGAATGGATTACCAGGAGACGCATGTTTTGGGGTTCAGGAGCGTTTGTGGGCGCTCAAGTTGGTTTCCCTAGAGTACAGTCCAGATTGCAAAAAGGGAGTTCTGTGAGACTAGCGTTCGCAAGAATATGTTTGTGGGTACTGGTATCAGCGGTCAAGGAAGAGCGTGTGTGTGTGTTTTTTATTTATTTGTTGAAATGTGTTTAGAGGTTGGTTTCTCACACACACATTGCAGTTCGCTATGCCAAAAACCCCAGAATGGCCAAGCTGTGTTTCGGAACGTCGAAGAACCTGTGTTTCTGTTGATATCCCAGTCATGTGTAATGTTTCTTTTGGTAGTTGAAAAGGGTCAGTTATGTAGGCGCAAAACACATAATAAGCGGTCCCAAACAGGTCCATCTCTGCATATTCTTAATCCTCCGGATCGGCCGCTTTTAGAGCCCTTTATCAACCAGGAAAAGCGAAAGATCTTCTAAGAAAAGCAACGGTATGGAAGGGCTGAACATGTAAGGTGATGTTTGGTCTTCCTTTTCCCAGATTAATTGTATAACATGGAACCCTAAAACCACTGGCCCTGGGTTGGTATTGGAATATGGTCGAAAGCACGGGCCAATGGTCAGGATCCATATTAGTCTGTAAGGGTTTCAGAGATTTCATCATGGGAGCCCTTTGAGTCTTGGGGATGTAGACAGGAACATATCCAAGGTCTTCATAAACATAGGGCCTCAGTCGGCGTCAGTTGTACATGTTTTAGGCTCGGGTCAGGTTCGAGTTCGGTCAAATGAAGTTGGATCCAGGCAGACAGGAGATCTCCAAAGAACGCAGACATGACCCTACCCAGACCATCCATCCCATGTATGACCCCAATGTACGTGCTTAACTACTCATACATGGATGGTCTGGGTTTGGGAGTCCTATCCTCCCTGCGAACTTTGGGCGTGTGTCCCACAGAGCACGCTGTGTAGGCGGGCGCGGTGTCATCGTGCGACCCTCAGTGGTGGGTTACGAACCTGGACCCTCCAGTTTATCTATCTATATAATACTTGAAAGAACTGCAGTGTGCAGCACCTCTCTCTTGGTCAGACATGCCTCACTTGTTTTGCTTTACTTTCGGCTCAAGATGAGAAAAGGGGCAACCGGCTTTGGGTGAACTTGTCGTTCTTTTGTCGTTTGGGCTGTTGATCACTGATTCCTGTGGTTATTGTCCTTGTTTGTTGGTTGGGTTGCAACAGCATACGTCTGAACTCAGGCTCCGAGGCTAAAGCCTCGGTTCATGTCGCGTTCTCTGCTGAAAGAAAGCCACGTTCAATCTTTGGCGGCGCAGCTGCCAGGAGGCACAGAGAAGCCTGGGAGTGAGTGGAATCAGAGAGGACTGGTCAGGGGCCTAAATCCATTCCCGCGGTGCATCAGGGTGGACCTGAACACTGCTGAGGTCGCCTGAGAGTGACTAAGGCGATCATCCACTTGATCGGGCCCTCAGAGAGCGTGAGCCTGTTGGTCCATTGAGAGTGCCGGAACGCAGGCTTTCACAAGCAATCTCGGAAGTGTGACTTTTACAGAAAGAGGGGACGATCTATTCGTATCGGCATCGGGAGCTTCCTACACGCAGCTCCTCATCAGCGTTGAGCTTCAGACCGGAAGCTGAGGTGGATTTAGGATCCACAGTTGGAGATTCCAGCGCGTCCCTTGGAGCTGTTGCCTTTGACAAGGACTTTGGCAGGATGGCAAGAAAGTGAAGTCATTGCCAAAACTACCTTTGCTACAACAAAGCCCCCAAAGCCGTCGGCTCGACAGCTTTTGGAGCTTCCGGAGTGCAGCCGCATTCCAGGTTTGCACTATAGGCTATATGTCACAATCGTCAGGGGGCTCCGGTACAACGAGGACAGGATCACAAAAGGGTCCTCCTCCTCGAATGCCTGTATCTAAACGCATCAAGAGTTTGCCAAAACCAGAAGGCGTTCGGCAAGATGAGTTGCAGATGTCTCCAACTGGATCTCCTACCATGCCAACTCTGGTTGGTTTCCGTTCAGTGCCATCACCCAGTGGGATCATTCCAATCAATCCAACCAGCATGGAACCACCCAGGGGTGAACCATGCAGTCGGCAGTGACGCAAGAGCTGCATTTGCGCGATGCAAGGGCCATGAATTCTGTTCAAGTTGCTGTTCTTGGGGTGATCCGCAAGAATATGGCAGATTAGCGTTTGAATCCCAACGGTTGTTGAATGAGACTGAACCAAGAGCTCAACATTTTGAGGGAATGCCCAGGAAAATCTATCAGCAAGCCGCAAGCCTGTCAGCATACCAATCAGCTCACCGCCATGGTTGGGGAATTGCGGAGCAGTGTGGAAACTCTTCAGGTAGGATGCCATGAAAAGGGCACCATAATCACCTGTCTGCCACCATAATCACCAGTCTGCCCACCGTTCGTTCGACGCCGCGAATGTATTTGTCAGGTCACAGAGTCAGAGGTTCTTTAAAGAATCAGGTGTTTCATAGCCTGGAATAGTAAGCTGTAAAACAAACAGCATTTCGCCATGAGGGGGGTCATATACAAGGTCTCAAGTAGTGACCTGTTGGAGGGTGCTTGAGCACAATATATATATATGTATTTAGATTGTAGATAGAATATAACACATCTACCGACTATATATCGTAGAACGTGGGACATACCAGGACCATCCTGTCTGGGTCTCCTGGCTGGACTACCCAGCCCACTACTTTCCAGGATCTTCAGCCAGAACACCAGGTCCTGAATGGCCAGGTACCGACGTACCCATTTTCCGAGGTACAATCGGGTCGGCTGCAATAAATTGTAGGCGTGACTTTATTGGTTTTGAATTCTCCCTTAGCCAAAACAAATTGACTGGCAGCATCATAAGTCGATGTTCAAGGATTTCGTGTTTTTGGTTCGTTGATGTTGGTTTATTCTTGGAAATTCAAGAAAGCAACGGCTTGGTGGTCCAAAATCGTTGCCATGCAGAACTGAGGCTGCCCAATGGTCGTTCCAATGATCAACTGAGTTCGCCCCGCGTGTTTTTGTTCATGAAACATAATTATGAGTTTTTCATCAAGGTAATGTACACCAGGTATCTAGATAGTCAGTGAAAAACCACATTTGTTCCTACCGGGAGTCTCAGTTCGTACCTCAGAAAACATATACCTCTTCTGCTGGGATATGTCCCCATTTCCAAGGCACTTGAAGTCAGGTCCAGCTATGTTTGACGTTTCTTTGGTCTAGATGACTTGCCGCCACCCACCATGCGCTCACATGGCTCTGTTGGCCGCTGCAAGTCTTGTGGCCCAGGGGCTTTGGTGAGCTCTTAGACAAAATTTTCGATGGTCGGGGTTCTTGGTGGGCCCGCTTGGCTCTTTTGGGTGCCATTTCTGCGTATCACTGCGCGGGCCGTCGTGGGCACCCATGCGGCAGCGTGACCAGGGCGGGGACCATGCACTCCTTTTGTGGCGTGTCCAACGTGTTCCGTTCAAGTGGAACATGTGATCAGTGCTTGAAAGTGTGGAACGTTCACACAGGCTGTTGAAAGTGAAGTTTGTTTTTGTTGTTTTTTTACAATGCCGTGAAAGAATGTAAAGCAAATTCAATCAGCGATCTATCTATGTCAGAACACTGTGAATGTCAGCTCTAAGCTGTGGGAACCGAGGTGTGGACACCGCGTGCGAACAAGTCCACCACATGGAAGGAATCGTTGGAAGACCAAACGCATGTCCAGGACGGTACCCTATGGCCCTTTGGATCCACATAGTTTCTCAGAAGGTACGACTGGGCCCGACAATGGCGCCTACATAAGAGTGTCTCCGTCCTCACCGTACCTGAGGCTCGGTACGACTGGATCCCTAGGGATATCCTATCATATCCTATTCTTAAGTTTTCAGCACGTTTATGTATGCGAAGTGAGGGTCCAAGTACCATTTGTCCCGACCTGGACCCTCCAAAGTACCCTAGAAGAAGATAGGTTGCGAAGTGTTGGGCAGTTCACCTGGATCCAGAAAGCTTCGTGTTTGCTGCGGCATTCAGAGATAAGGAACAACTTTGCACGTTTGCATGTTGTTGTATGTGTGTTCCAATCACCTTCATCATGTTCTGCAGATTGTACTGAGCGTGTCCTCGATTTGTTTTACAATGCGTAGAATGAATGTTAACTGCAAAAGACATCGGTTTCAAAACCACCCAGTTGGTTCCGACCTGTTCCAAGCAGCGGATGCCTTAAGGGCACCGAAGGCTGCGGATGAAACGTTGGATTCTCTGAAGCCTTGGACATCCATGGGACTGGAATAGTTACCCTATACCTCCAGTCGCAGCTCCCCATAAGGTATGACTGGACGCTCTAAACCCACACCAGTCCCACCTTCTCAGAAGGTACTTGGAGGCCTAGGGTTACATACATTGGCATCATTTTCATGGGGTAACTATATGTAACTATTCCAGTCCCATG